ACCAGGACACCTCCAAAGTTGAGTTTACAAAAAAAAGCAAGCCAAAATAACACAATTTTTCAATTGACTTGCCTAAGATCCAGTAGAAAGCAATGGGGGAATTTTATAACTTATCTTAAAGGCCACTGTAAACAGTTAAAAGTAGGATTGGAATATCACTTGTAGTTTAATGGGGAATTTAGGATACAATGGAGAGATAAAGATCTGGATTGTTATAAAAGATGCAGGAGGAAATGATTAGCAGTGGGACCCACAAAGGGTGTGTGTGGGGGGGAGTCCAAGAGATTCCTTGTTGTGTGTTGTATGTCGGATAGGTGACTGCAAAATTTCAATCTGAGAAACAAAAAAAACCCAAATTTCTGGGGGAAAATAAGATCCAGGAGAAAGCACCACCTTTCGGAAATCCACCCCCCACCCCTGGACGTCAATTCCACCTTTGAAATCCTGGTAATGTCCAGGAAAATCTGTGGGAACAAGTAAGTGCTTTCGCTTTTTTCATGCCTTTCAGAATGGGGTTTTTCTACTTTCAGAATGGAGTTTTCCTTCTGAGTTCAGGCCCCTAGGCTCACCCCTCTAACTAGGTTGGAGCTGTGTTGACTTCCCAGGCAGGCACAGCTATGTACCTATAGGAGGTACATAGGTGAAGCCAGGCCAGCTCATTTGGCCAGGTCTCAGTTCTGCGCAGCAGGTCAGAGCTCCCTCATTCATTAGGTGACAGATGGCTTCCTTTGGACAGAACCAGCATTCATCAACCGCTCCACCAGACTGGGGAAGGGGAGGGGCGTTGACCAATGCTCATCCCAGATTACGAAACATTACAGAGTGAGGGCCTCAATGTACCTGGAACACCATCTTGCCCCTGGGAGTTTTAGGGGGGGCTGTGTGTGTGTGTGTGTGTGTGTGAAACTTTGTTGGTTAGATTTAAGGAGGATCCAGTCAAACAAATTAAGAGCGTAAGAACTACTAGCAGCTTTTATTTTCAATAATGGCCCCATCAGATCCCCTTTAGAACGGAAAAGCTGAACACACAACTGACTGCTGTTTATCCTCCAGCCTCTGGTTCCAGCCAATGCTGAATTTGTAAAAGGGAGAAGAAAGGCAAAGAACAGGATGGAAAGGGAGGGGAAAGAACAGCAGGATCGTGATGAATTTGGCACAAACTGCCTGCTAGTCGAAGAAGCTTGGCATGTACACCCTGTACAGGAGAACATGCAAAGCCTGATGTTGCCACAAGCCTTCCATGTTTCTTAAGAAAACTGAAAATGACAAAGTAACAGGCAAGTGCCCACCTGAGTCGTCCCATTTCCCCACCCATGCCAACCGCTGCTGGATACAACAGTAATCCAGGTTGGAGTTGTGAATTCAGAAAAGAGCTTCGAGGAACCTGACATTATTACACGCCCCACCTTCTTTTAGACACCAGGGACTAGCTGCCTCTGGTATCAAGCGGCAGAGTTCTTCGGTGAACATTATCAGCCAGAAGCAGACAAGACGTATTTGCTATTGAGCTGTGTTTTAGGGGAGGCCTGCAGCCTCCTTTCGCTTTTATCTGGATTACAACGGCGCTGGCTTTTTGTACATTTGCTGTGTTGCTCAAGGGAAGGGGGCTGGGGAGGAGAGCAGAGCCATTTTTCATTCTGAGGAGGACAGATGAACTGCACCCTTGTAATTCCCGTCTGCATTAGAGAAATAGCTTTGTGGCAGGTGAGACGGTGTTTGTGCGTCAATGCACGGCGTCAGCACAAGCTGCTTTGTTGTGGGCATGCACTCATGCGCCACATCAGTGAACTCATCAGTCTTCAAAGACCTTATGGCTGGCTACATATATTTCCGGCCTCCAGTGGAACATCTCCTCCTGAAGAATTAACATTTGGAGGGTTAGGGTCTGAATATGTACCTTTCTCCAAAAGTTTGTGTGTGTGTGTGTGTGTGTGTGTGTGTGTGTGTACATATACATATACATACATATAAACACACACACATATATACATATACATATAAAGGTAAAGGGACTCCTGACCATTAGGTCCAGTCATGGCCGACTCTGGGGTTGCGGCGCTCATCTCGCTTTATTGACCGAGGGACCCAGTCTACAGCTTCCAGGTCATGTGGCCAGCATGACTAAGCCGCTTCTGGCAAAACAGAGCAGCGCATGGAAATGCCGTTTACCTTCCCGCCGGAGCGGTACCTATTTATCTACTTGCACTTTGACCTGCTTTCAAACAGCTAGGTGGCCAGGAGCAGGGACCAAGCAACGGGAGCTCACCCAGTCGCGGGGATTCGAACCGCTGACCTTCTGATCAGCAAGGCCTAGGCTCTGTGGTTTAACCCACAGTGCCAGCCCGCGTCCCTACATATACATATACATATACATATACATATACATATACATATACATATACATATACATATATACATACACAAACACACACACATATACATATACATATAAACATATATGAGACAGATCACCCAATTAAGGAAATTGGAGCTGATTAATTGTATGCATTTTAATCAATGCATCCATTGTTTAATTGTATCTGCACAAATTTATGCATGCTTTTAACAGTAATTTAGAACGGGTTATGGAACCTGGAGCTTCCAGATATGACTGGAAGACAACTTCCATCATTTGAGGCCGATGAGAGTTGAAATCCACTGATTCCCCACCCCTATTTTAAAAGGTGGGTTCGGGGGGGAAGCATCGTATAAATAATAAATTATTATTATTATTGTTGTTGTTGTTGTTGTTGTTGTTGTTCCTTTGTTAGATGGTGCATGCTGTGTTTCATAACAGACAACATCTTAAAAGAGTCATTTCCATCTGTAACACAATATTAGTTTAAAATATATATTTTTTATAAAGGTGCTCATTATAAACACATAAAGCAATAAACCCATGAATATATTCATTCTACCAAACTGGGGGGAAGAGGACACACCAGCTTTCACTTTTTCTTTAAATGTAAAAAAAAATAACCATAGGTGAAGAGAAAGGGTTGAGATATGTTTTTAACTGGACTCAAATTTACAGCTTTTGGGGAATGGGGGGGAGGGGGGAGAAAGGGGTATTGGGCGGGGGGGGGAGAGAGTTAAAACCTGAAGTATCGGTTACTCCAAAGCAAGTCCAGGTCTTCAGATAACCGTTACACAAATATTCATTAGGATTTGTAATGCACGCATTAGCAGTAAGATCAAATTTCAGACTGAAAACATACAATTAAGTGATACTATGAAACCCTCTAAGGCTTAGATGTTTTCCAACCCAAGCTAGGCAGCTGAACTTTGATCATTGCCCTATTTTCTTTGAATAATATTTCAAGTGGGAAAGAGCAAAGAAGGAAACTAATCCCCCATGGTAAGAAAAAACTAATCCCTCCGACAACCTTTGTATGAATGGAAAAATATTTCAAGGTATTTTCCCAAGAGAAGATGCAGAGATGGGCTTTGCACTACTTGAATGATCAGGTTCAAAATAGTCCTTGAAGTGAATTGTTTCAAGGAAAAAATTAATTACTCCTAAAACAAAGAAAAAGAAAACAAGAAAAGTTTTTTGAAAATAAATCCCCTTTGACAGAAGTAAAGCATGTGGTAAGAAGCATCCCTGGAGATGCATCTACACTTAGAAAATAAATCAGTTTAATAATGATTCCTTCTTTGTGGGGAACTCTGGGAATTGTAGTTCTGTGTCAAGGGCTAGGGAGCTGTAACAGAGAAATTTCAACATCCTCACCAAACTACATTTCCCAGGATTCTTTGGGTGAAATCTATGATGTGATATATAATATAAACAATATAAATTTCTGAAGTTGGACGCCTTTTAGCTCACATCATTTTATTGTGACTTGCAACTTAATACAGGAATAAAAACTATTGGGAAGAATCATTTTCGGAAATAAATTGGTATTCTTCCCCATCCTTAACTTCAGGCAAGAAAATGTCATGGGTTGGCTCTGCCTTGGTGCAAGAGAACACTGTGTTGTGTTGTGTTGTGTTGTGTTGTGTTGTGTTGTGTTGTTGTGTTGTGTTTTTTATGCTCAGTCCCCACTTCCCTTTCTCATTTCAGAAAGGATCACAAAGTTGGGTGAACTGCAAATCTATCCCTACATATTTACATCTGGGTCACCCATTCCTTCCTCTCTGCATGGTGGCCACACCTAATCTTCAGACCCAGACTCAAGCTGCACGAAGGACATTAATCAATACTTAAAGCCATCACCTGTAGATAATAAGCATGCATGTTTACAAATACAGACCAAAAAAGAGGGAAACAGTCATTATCTGATTTCTGGCCAACTGCTCCCGTCCACAAGTAACAGTAACAATTGTTTCTGCATTTTTTGACCATCATAAATGAATAAGAGAAGACAACTCTAATAGGATCTTACTTCCATGTAATAATAATAATAATAATAATAATAATAATAATAATAATAATAATAATAAATATCAACTTTTATTTATATCCCACCCTCCCCGGCCGAAGTCGGGCTCATGGAGGCTAACATCAGATATATAAATTGGTATAAGATCAAACAATAATTAAATTACCTCCTAAAAACAGGTCAAAATCAAATTAAAGTCTAATTAGATGGCTTTCCGCAGGGTTAGGGTTGGGAACAGTAAGTGCTCATCGGCCCAAGTGTTTACACTGATCTTATATGGGCGTGTGAGAATGCTGGGAGGCCTCTTTCATATTAGTTCTTCTACAAAAAGAAAAGGGGAGACAGGCTGAGCCCTGACCAAAGGCCAGGCAGAACAGCTCCGTCCCACAGGGCCCTGATCTCTTGTAGCAGAGCATTCCACCAGGCCAGGGCCAAGGCTGAAAAGGCCCTGGCCCTGGTCAAGGCCAGCCTAATCTCTCTGAGGCCCGGGATCTCCAAGGTGTTATTATTTGCAGACCATAAGGTCCTCCGTGGGGCTTACCAGGAGAGGCGGCCCGTAGGTATGTATATCCTAGGCCATATATCCAAGCATACCTGGATTTGTAAGGCACTCACCTTTCTGTGATGGTTTCTCTGAGACCACTAGTGACGCCTTTGACCACAGTGCTAGCCTTTGGGGTCAGCACCACCTGAGATATAAAAAAGGAGCCCTTCTTCCTCTTTTCAATGATGGATGCCTGGAGAAACTGGATCAGTTTTTCAGGATCTGTTGTGTTGGCCCACGGAGCTGGCATCATCTGCCCTGGCCACAAGAAGGAAACCTCCAAAGCCACTGGACTGTGATAAAACACCAGCACTTGATAATCCTTCTCCCACAGATACTGGAGAGAGACTTCGTGAGCAAATATAGCCGGGCACATTTTATTCCCAAAAGTGTCTTTGAGCATTTGGACCAGTTTTTCATGGTGGCACATTTGCATCCCGTAGAAGTGGTTGAAGTCCAAAAAGACCACTTCCTTGTGGTGGTCAGCAAGAAAGGCACTGATCTCCTCGAGGCCCTCATTGACTTTGGCACTGAACAAACCATGAGCAAAGTAGAGTTCATTGTCGGGGTCTCTGGGCTTGGTGGAGATTCTAAGATCAAAATACCGTATGCCTGCTCCAAGCTGGCTTGTGAAGTTCATCGTCTGCGTCGCCAACCATTTCCTCATCAGCTTTTTAGCCACAGTTCCAAACACAGAGACAAAATTCTGGACGGTGTCAGGTTGTTCAGGTCCAACGGGTGAGGCTTCATCAATGTAGAAGCTAAATGAGTCATGAGAGCCTAAAAATAACACAAAACAACACATTTGCATTTTTTTTTAATTAAAAAAAAAGCAAGATTTGAAGACTGATACTCAGGGTTGCATGAAAATATTCCAGAGCTCAAATTACAACACAAATCACTTATTTCCTCTCTAACTGTTTTAATATCAGTTATTTTAGCATTGGAAAGATATCGCTAGTAGTATCCAAATGGGCTACCTGTGTAGCAAGAGAATCACAAACTATGTTCTTTTCAGAAGGCACCTGATTGCTTCACACTGTTCTGATAGCATTAGTTTGCACCTCGCAGAGTCAATGAAAGGGATAGCTGTGTTTGTACTATGTTGAGTGTTTGGAGGTCAAAGCATATTGTTAGCTGGGAGGGGGAAATGACTTAACTTTTCAGGCTCAGTCAGTGGTGTGCCGAGGCCCTGCCGGGTCGTGCTTCTGGCACAGAATATGACTCGGCACTGGCAATTGTTTGGTTTTCATTCTGCAAGTCCTTGATGTGTTTGAGTTAGTCTTGAAGGAAACACACTGTTAGTCTTGAAGGCTGACAATGAGGAATAACTCCAGCTGGTCACAAAAGTGAAATACCTGGGGGTCAACTTGACTGGGAAAAATTTGAATTTGTTTAAAGATAATTATGAAAAATGTTGGTCTGAAATTAAAAAGGACTTAGAAACTTGGTCAAGACTGAAACTTTCCTTGTTGGGAAGAATTGCAGCAGTCAAGATGAATGTACTGCCAAGAATGTTGTTTCTGTTTCAAACCCTTCAGATCGTGGACAGAGTGGAGTGTTTTGGAAAGTGGCAGAGGGACATCACGAAGTTTGTCTGGCAGGGCAAAAAGCCCCGAATAAAATTTAAAATACTAACAGATGCAAAGGAAAGAGGGGGATTTGCCCTGCCGGACTTAAGATTGTATTATGAAGCTGCATCCTTCTGCTGGATGAAGGATTGGTTTTTATTAGAAAACACTGATGTCCTAGATCTGGAAGGGTTTAACAATGCTTTTGGGTGGCATGCATACTTGTGGTACGACAAGATAAAGTTTCACAAGTTGTTCAAAAACCATATTGTCAGGAAAGCTTTATTCATTGTCTGGACTAAATATAAAGACTTATTTGAAAGTAAGACCCCGAGGTGGTTATCACCAATGGAGGCTAAGGCCATAAAACTACTTAACATGGAGGGTGGCTGGGCAAAATACTCTGAGATAATAGAAAGAGTTGGTGACACGTGGAGGTTGCAGAGTTTTGAAAAGTTGAAGGGAAAGGTGCGAGACTGGTTTCACTACGCCCAAATTTTAGAGATCTTTAAAAAGGATAAAAAAGTTGGTTTCCAGGTGGAAAAATCAAAACTAGAGACAGAACTACTTGAACCTAAGACGAAAGTGCTTTCAAGAATGTATAACTTGTTGCTTAAATGGAATACTCAAGATGAGACAGTTAAATCAGCTATGATAAAATGGGCACAAGACATTGGGTACAACATTATGTTCGAAGACTGGGAAAGGTTATGGACCACCGGTATGAAATTCACGGCATGTAGTGCCTTAAAAGAAAACATTATGAAAATGATATACCGGTGGTACATGACCCCAGTCAAACTTGCAAAGATATATCATCTGTTAGACAATAAATGTTGGAAATGTAAGGAGGCTGAAGGAACATTCTTTCACCTCTGGTGGACATGCCCGAGGGTGAAGGCTTTTTGGGAAATGATTTATAATGAGTTGAAAAAGATATATAAGTATACCTTTCATAAGAAACCAGAGGCCTTCCTCCTGGGCATTGTGGGCCAGAGAGTACTAAAGAAAGATAGAACTTTCTTTTTATATGCAACGACAGCAGCAAGAATCCTTATAGCTAAATATTGGAAGGCACAGGAGTTACCCACGCTGGAAGAGTGGCATACGCAACTGATGGACTACATGGAATTAGCCGAAATGACTGGCAGAATCCGAGACCTGGGAGAAGAGGCAGTGGAAGAGGACTGGAAAAAATTTAAGGACTACCTACAAAAACACTACAAGTTATATGAATGTTGAGAATTTGCTAAGTTTTTGGGAAAAACATGCTTCAGTATTGAGATTTGAGAATGATGGAAACTAAGTTATGACTGTGAAAACTTTAAATTTTAGAATATATAATTAGAAGAAAGTACAAAAACATATGAAACAAGGTTGCAATTTGCTGTTTATTTTTATTGTAAAGAAAGCAGGGACGGAGGATCTGGGGAAGTCTAGTTGATTATGAAAAAAGATCTGGAAAAGTGAATTTTCTTGTATACAATCTCTTTTTTTTTTTTCTGTAAAACCGCTTTTGTTGTGGTATTGATGATGTATCTTGACCTTGGAAAAAAAGCAATAAAAAATATTATAAAAAAAAAAGGAATAACTCCAGCTGATATCAGGCCAAAATATATGAACCCAACACCTGTTTAAATTATATGAGAGAGGGCTTAGTCCTAACACCTAATCCTGACATCTGTGGCGGGGCCAGAGGTAAAAGCAGGCAAAGCCACAAATGTACAGTGGTACCTCGGGTTAAGTACTTAATTCGTTCTGGAGGTCCGTACTTAACCTGAAACTGATCTTAAGCTGAAGCACCACTTTAGCTAATGGGGCCTCCTGCTGCTACCATGCCGCCGGAGCACGATTTCTGTTCTCATCCTGAAGCAAAGTTCTTAACCTGAAGCACTATTTCTGGGTTAGTGGAGTCTGTAACCTGAAGCGTATGTAACCTGAAGCGTATGTAACCCGAGGTACCACTGTAAATTTGCAGCAGACTAGTTTTGACACACACTCATGCACCCTTCTCTATTCTCCATGAAGAGAAGCCACTGAGATGTGTAGCCCAAGGAGAGTTATGAGGGCTGGATGGTGAGGCCATATTCAGTCCCTGGGTCTAAGCTTCCTCAACCCTGACCCAAATGTGCACTCAGTTTGGATCATCACCATCACTGTGTCCTTGCAGCAGCACAAACTGTAGCATTGTGCAGACACTGTGGCAACGTGCCAGGTAGACAGAAGGATGGCATGGGAATGGTTGTCATTATGGACTCATAGGATGAGAACCTATAAGAGCACCACTATGATGCAACTGGACCCTCTCAGATGACGATGAAACTGCACTATTCCTTTGGATTTGGATGGATGAATCAACTGACTCAATGGCAGGTCTATCACATTTCTATTCCATGCATCCTCAGAGGAGCAAAGGATGCGTCAGTTTCCAGGGCAGAAAAAGAGTGCATAACATTCAAAAACCAATAGCTGTAAATGAAAGGGGGCCTGCCATGATTCTAAGAAGGCTTTGAGTGATAATACGAGAAGACCAGTAACATTATATAAAATGAAACTTCAAAAGACTACAGAACAGTGTGAGCATGGAGGCAACAAGCTTAGCTCATCATAAACGATATCACGGGTTTTATCCAAGAGAGTCTTGGGACACGTCTGCCACCGTATTCCCTACAGCTCCCCCCAAAATGCAAGGATGACACCACCACTCAATACACATGCATGCATATACATAGGGATCCTTTTTGTTTCAGGTACAAAATATTGCTGTTTAAAGGTTGAAAAACATAATACCCCAGTGCCATAGAGGATGAATCTGACAGAGGATAGGGAGGTTTGTTACAGGAGATGGATAGCTTCAAATCTACCTGTCTCACAGGATACCCAGGGGAAGGCATCCCCCAGGAAACAGTAGTGCTTTTTCTTGCACAGTCTGAGGATGTAGCTCTTCCCTCTTCTAGAACTCTGAGCAACCCCTCAGAAAACCTGCCGGTGAAGCAGGAAATCCCACAGGCAGCAGAAGGCGCCCTAGTCCCATCACAGTCCAAGCCTAAGCAATAAGGCACAGCCCCTTTCAGCCCTGATAGGATTCTCCTTGGGAGTGGAGTTGCAAACAGCAGCCCTCTCTTGATTGCTCCAGATAATTGCTGAAGCGGAATTCCAAGTTTGCGACGCCTGAGAGCCATGTTTCCTGCCGGAGTTGGAACCTTGCTCCCCAAATGTGCTGACCATGGTCCTGATCTCCAGCAACCTATCCTAGGATCCAGCCCTAACCAAAAGCAGAGCAACAAAGGCTGAGGCTCTCTTAAGGAGCAGGCATGTGAAAGCGCCAGCAACAAATAGGAAACATCTGCACGTTATCTGCATGGCAAAGAGCCCTAGAAAGACTCTCATTGTGCCACACTCTGTTTAAAGTGTAGCGTCTTCTGTTCTCTGCACTCACACTACCCTGCAGCTCATTTATTGAAAGGGGATTAGACAAATTCATGGAGGACAACATTATCATTGCCTACTACTTATTACCAATGGGTAGTTAATGGCTATACATGACCTCTGGGATCAGAGGCAGTACTCCTCTGAATTTCCAGTTGCTGGGAAATACAGACGGACTTCCTGTATGGGGGCCTCCTATAGGCACCTAGCTATAGGCACGGTGAGAACAGGCTGATGGACTAAATAGGCCTTTGGCCTGATCCAGCACAGCTCTTTTTATGTTCTCAGCTCTTTGCAGTGATGCTCCTAGTCCAATCCTTAAAAGGAATCTGAGTGGCTAGAGTGCTTTTCAAGCCCAGGGGTAAGAGAAAGGGTTGCATTCAACGCAGTGCTAAGCCTAAGGCTATCCTTGCACAACAGAATGTTCTCCCCACCCCGAAATCTATTCTGGGTGTTCTCCAAATCCTCCAAGGCAGATGGCCTGGGGGGGCATGCAGGGGGAGGAAGGGAGGGAAAATCTCATTGTTTTGCTGTTTTACTTTTAATTACTTGTTTGTGTTTTTATTTTGTATTTTTATCTCGTGAGCCGCCCTGAGATCATCTGATGAAGGGAGGTATATAAACCTAATAATAAACGGTAAATGAAATAAAAATCATACTAGCGGCAATCCCAGAACTATCTGGTTTTCTCACTGTGAGGGGGGAAAGGGGAGGACCTGTAACTTTGAACTCTTTGGAAGAAAACCAGTAAAAGGGAGGGGAAGATAAGATTCCGTGCAG